AAAAAAAAAAAAAAAAAAAAAAAGAAAACCAGAATTTTTTCAGGTAAATTCGTTTTGTATTATTCCTATTTTGTTTTAAACTAATCTCCTACACCCAGCATGGGACTTGAACTCACGACCTTGAGATCAGTAGTCATTTGCTCTATCAACTGAGCCAGCCAGATGCCCCTCAAGTCAATTCTTATAATTACATAGAGTTTCATAAGGGAGTGCAAATTTATTTGCTTTCCTTTGAAGTTGTTTTGTTTTTCTCTGTCCAAAGAAATCAGTTTATGAGCGATATTTTTGGGGTGGAGGGACTCTGTTTGTTGAGAAACCGTTGGTTAGTCTTTGGATAAAATATTTAGAGTACCCTAGCAACCCTAGAGAACTTGAAGAGGAATTTGTTGCCTTTAGAAAGTAGGTTTATTTAGAAGAATAAAATGAGGTTGGCACAGCTTCATAGTTAATTAATGACATAGGTCACCGTGTCCTTGAAGAGGGAAACTCTAACCTTATCTAATATTAGTTTCGAGATCTACAGGGTATGGGACATTTGCTAGGGTAAATTATTCTATAAGTTTTTCTGAGTTTTAATTAATAGTTTATTAAATATTAAAAAAAACAAGGCATAAATACATGCTTTGAAAAATTTTGCTCCTACTCAAATTAGTCATGCTTCCTTTGTTTGATGTGTTTACTTCCTGTTTAAAATCAACAGCACTTTTTTTTTTCAAGTCTGGAATCTTAGAAAATCAGTTACTTTAAAAGTTTTCTTACGTTGGGGTCATATCTCTTTCCCAGATCCTTACAAGGCTGTTCTCTGTCCGTGACCTTTGGGGCCTCAGGCAGCCTCATGTCCATTTCTCTTTCCAACAAAAAGGGTAGTTGAGCTGATTCCTTTGACCTGTGGAATATGAATCTAACACATAATCTAGCCATAGTCCACCGCTATTCCCACCTCTACCCCCCCCTCCAAGTTACTATTTACTCCCATGTCTGAATGTCTCCCCACCGAGTCTGCCATTAATACACGCTTTCCTTTCGGGAAGCCTACTTTTGTTTTTCTTTTTAAATTAAAAAAATTTTTTTTACAAACCCTTGTGTCGAGGGCTGACGTTCGCTAGATCACGGTGAGGGAGCTGCTCTGCTACATATGAAGCCGGGACCCAGAAGCAGGTCGTTTACGAATGGTTTGGCACCAGGTTCCCCACAAACGCGTGTCACGTGATGGGCAAGGGGGACGAGCCTGCTTTTAATGTACCTGGTTCATAAGAGGGTCTCCCTTCAGTTAATTTATTAGACTTCTTAGTAGACATTTTAGAAATTTTAGAAATTCTGCTGATAAAGTCATATAATCTTATTGTCGAGCGTCCACTATTTGCAGGTGAGTCCGTGCTGGGGAAATTGAGATGAATAATACAAATTCTGTTAGCATGCAGATTCTGTTAATCACTCATGCACTAACGTCATCGCTGTACAGACCGAGTACCCTGGGAGCCCAGAGGGAGGATGGGTAATGTGATTGAAGTGGTGTCACGTAGTCTTTCCTTTACCCTAGCCTTCCTGACAGCGTTAAAGGTGGGTTATTGTCGTAGGTAGACCTGGGCACAACTTGTGACTTTGCCATTTACTGCCTGTGATGAGGATTGGATACAGTAGTGTGGTAAAATAGCTGCCACTCAGCAAACATTAGTTTCTGTCCTTTCCTCTGGACTTGCTGCTTTTAATTCTTCTGTTCAGGGTTTCAATAAATTAGAGTAGACCCTGGCAAGCACTTGGCAAGCACTTGGTTCTTTGGTTACTGATTTGTAGGAAAACCTTTACAGATACTAAAGGAAGTTGTATATTTGAACGAAGTTAGTTTCCTCTTAAAGAGGACACGTAACAGGAATATTAATCTGAAAAAGTCTAGAATTTGTTGGAAAAAGTAAGTTTGTTCCGAGCAAATTTTGATTGACGCAGCTTTATAATTTCCATGTACTGTTATCTACGTAGTGGATGCTATCTGTCCCTTAAATCTAGGTAAAAACAGTGCCGGGGAGCTATACGACTCAACCACACAAATTTTATTCATTCACACAGGGGTCTAGTACTCAAATTGGTATATTGTACTAATTGATGTTAGCTTTAAACTGTCAACTCTTAAGAAAAATGAAGTCATTGGAACAGAATTCTTAATTTAAAAATGTAGGAAGTATATATAGCGGGTGGGTCTTTAGAATCTTAAAAAGATAAGAGTTAAGTACAGGCCTCTGCTGAATGTGGATTTTTGTTAACAGGGCCAAGTGAGTTCATTCTAATAAATTCAGTAACCAGGTGGATGGTGGAATAGAACTTGGTGAATTGGCGGATCTTTCCAGCAAAAGAATATCTCTGTAGCTGTCATGTAACAATAAGGACTGGCTATGCTTATTTATGTTGAGTTTATTTCTAAGTTACATAATAAAGAACTAATAAATGTGTAGCCACTGAGGTAATAAAGAGTCACTAGTAGCATGGTCCAGATCCATACGTTAAAACCAGTAAAAGCTCCCTGAATTTCATGGGGTTTTAAAAGTTGGACCAGATCAAAGTTGTTTTATTTGTCTCTCTTTAAAGAAATTATTTATTCAGCTACGTTAACAGTGTTACTTTTGTGTTTCTTCCCCCTTTCCAGGTTTTAACGTTAGAAATACATACTTTTCTGTTTTTAATGCCTTACTCCTCTTGTATTTGTTAGCAGCAGCAATCCCAACGTGTTTGATGAGAGCTGTGCCCTGTATTTAAATCCCTTTACTCTTGGTAAATGGAAACCCAGCGGTTTGTTTATTCTGTTATCTTCAATTTTCTCATGAAGCCTTGGGACCTCTGAAGCTTGCTGTGGCCTAGCAGAAGGAACCAGAGCTGGGCTTGGTGGGAGAGGCCTTCTGTGCCTGCCAGAGTCTACCACTGAGGCAGCAGTAAATTACCTCCCTCCTTTGAAAATGGTTGTGATGAGGAATATAGTGGATTTAAACAAACGTTACTTTATGTCATTAGATCTTAGAGCGAGAAAGAAACTTGGAGGTGTATTTTTCAAATGGGAACCCCCTAGAGGCTGCTGATCCCTGTTCCCACAGATGAAGTGTGAAGGCTCATTTTACACTTTTTGACTAGAAACCTATCTAATCTCACGTCCTTGACCAAAGAACAGCGCTCTAGTTGTCTGGGAGGGTTGTCTTCTCTGAAGCTGCAGATGGCTCCAGGCATGGTGGAGGAGGAAAGGGACCTGGACCAGGCAGCATAGCTGAATCTGCCTGGGACAGGGGTAGGGGGAGTAACACATCCAGGACTCTGTGTGATCTGCCCTTTTCCTAAAGCTCTGAACTGAGAACGTACAGAGAAAGCCTCAGGCCTTTAAACAAACAAAAACAAACAAACAAACCTGGAGCCCAGTCATGTAAACTGGATGAATTGGTCCTTTCTGGAAGATTTCTTTGCTTTATATATTTTAGATTTATCAATTTGAGTTCCCTGTGCTCAAGAATTAAATCTGCCTTTCAAACATTAAGTATTTGAGGATCCCATTATCATTACAAAGAAAGCAAGATCATTGCAGAGTTACTATTCTGTTCCATTCCTAGTGGAGAAACCGGAAGTGAACTCTATCGTCTTTTTTCTGGTGTTGCTAGGTGGAGGCCAGATGGGCAGGTGGGCAGCGTCCCCCACTCCCGTCGCCCCGCACCTAGTCCTCTTAGAACTGCAGTCACAGTGGCTTCTGCAGTCACTGTCCTTTTAAGTTGAATTGATCTCCCAAAGTCTAACATTTTACGGTTCTGTGAAACGAACACCGATGATCTGTTCTCTAGGAGGCCACAAACCAATTTTTGTGCTGTCATTCCCGATTCCAGACGCTGGCCATTGTGTCTCGTAGACTTGGTTCACCACCTCCTATGTGGTCAAGCTACTTAACCCTGAATCTAAGATTGAGACTCCTCATTTCCATGACAGTCTCTCAGTATATGTTGGTTTTCTTTTCCTTCCTTCTAAACCGCAGCTTTCCTGGAATCTGTCTTCATCCTACCACCAGAGTATATTTTCTATGTATCCTATTTTTTTCCTTGTTATTCGTGAGGTATTAATTAGTAAATGATTGATTTTTATGCATTGAAGTTCAGTATATTTGTGCCTGACTCAAACGATTCATTTTATAATAGAATTTAAAAATCGTCCTCTCTTTGGTGAGGGAGAGATTTGGGGGGACAGTGAGACAGACTCTCAAAATTCTCTGTCGATATCAAGGGTCAGCAAACTTGTTTTATAGAGGGCCAGACAGTAAATATTTTAGGTTTCATGGGACCTACTGATCTGTCACAACTACTCAGCTCTGTCATCATAGCGCAAAAGAAGCCTTAGACAACGTGTAAATAAACGATCGTTGGTGTATTTTAGTAAAACTGCTTATAAAAAAGGTGATGGGCTGCATTTGACTGTGGGGCCTTAATTTGCCTTTGTGTACCAGCCTCTGGTTTAGACACTGTTACCAGTTTAGTGACTCCAGACTACATCAAGATCCCTTGGGGGTTGTTACAGGGTAGAGAATCCTCCAGGCTTCACCATTACCCCAGCAATCAGTATTTACAATCAAAGTAAAATTCCCGTTCATTTCTAAAGAAGTAAAAAGGATTATGCATGGTTATTTTAGTTATTATGCGTGGTTATTTTAAGAATTTCCAGGAAGCCTGACATTATGTAATTGTATGGTAGTTTTCTAAAAAAGGAAAGAATATTTGAGCTTGAAAAGGATGTTTATGTGTTTGAAATGAAGGACCCTGCTGTTTTAGACAAAAAGGTCTGCCCTTTGTAACCCATGCGAACAGTTCCTGAGAAGTGATCTTCGCCAGGCGATTGAAAAGCTAAAAACATTTTGTGTTATTTTCTTGTGCAGTTAAACATGACTGGGATAAGATGACAGAAGCTGTACAGAATTACATCGGCTCCCTGAACTGGGGCTACCGGGTCGCTCTGCGGGAGAGAAAAGTGACCTATGAGAATGCATACGGCCAGTTTGTAGGTCCTCATAGGATTAAGGTAATTGTGCGACACCCTGAGGAGCTAATGTTTGTTTGTTTGTCTTGAACTTCTGTGAGGGGTAGGGGAGGAAAAGAGAAAGTGATTGTCTCGATAAAAGTAAAAGCCACTGTGACCCAAACTGTCCAGTTGGATGATTTTGCAGACACATCTTCTTATGGGCCTTTTCCGTGTGGTTGTGGCAGTGTAAGAATACTGGATTTGGGGCCAGATTACCTGGATCTGAGTCTTGGCCCTGCCACTTATTAGCCTTATGATTTTGAATAAGTCCGTTAATTTCTTAGAGCCTTAGTACGTGTTACCAAATTTTTATGAGGATCAAATTGGATAATGTGGCGAATGGCCTCTGTTCACTATAACTACAATTTTAACGAACACTAGCTTATTAAAAGTTGGCACTTGGTTTCTTTGTAGGCAACAAATAACAAAGGCAAAGAAAAAATTTATACAGCAGAGAAATTTCTCATTGCTACTGGCGAGAGGCCACGGTATCTGGGCATCCCTGGTGACAAAGAGTTCTGCATCAGCAGGTGAGGGGGCACCGGAGGGAGACGAGGAGGCACCTGTTGTTGAGTTCTACTTTTCAGTTGTTTTCTTCAAACCCATTTAGTCCATTTCCTAGAACTTCCGGGGTTTTTTAAAAATTTTTTTTAATTTTTTTAATTTTTTTAATTTCTGTGTTTCTGCCCAAAGGGACAGGGGCCTGGGAAAAACAGAAGGGAAAAAATTCTTTTATGCAAGAGAACATTTAAAAAGTTCAAAACTATAAACATGGGTCTTTCTTACCACCCACTTAACATCACTGTTAACATATAAATACATACTTATATTGAAACTTCTGTTTGAAATTTATACATGTGTGAGCATGTTTTGTAAATGTGTTAACATACTATAGTTGCCAAATGTGTCCTCTTGGATGCTTTCTGCTGAGGAGTTTCTGCTCATGTTACACATTATTTCTTCTCAGTCCCTTTTTCGGGAAGGGTATGTGATTTTTTTTCCTTTGCACCTCATACAGGGGCAGCTCAGATGGCGACTGTTGTCTTCTCCATCTTGGATGGGTTTCCTTCTCATATTTAAAAAAAAACTCATTTCCTAAAAATGCTTTTGTGATCCCTCTCATGTCTCGTGTATTCTTTACTTGGCTCAAAGATTTTGTCAGCTTTTACTCTTTATAGTTGGTTTTTATATGACAAAACAGTTATGTTGGAAGTTTTCCCCTACTCCTCTCTTGCTGATTCGTGTTCTGGATAGATCTTCCACCTCGGAGACTGTGTTTGGCTATGGGCAGCTTGAGCTGCTCCCTGAGCAACTGAGTGGCAAGAAAGGAACTGGGTCTAAGCCCTTGTAAATAGTTTTCATAGATTATGTATGTAGCCAATTGAATGTTTTTAGTTTTTAAAAGTGTATTCTTAAAGCAAAAATATTTACTTTGATTCAGTCATTACTCACATAGGAACATTTTCAATTTCTTTCTTTTCTTCCCCACCCCCCCACTTTTTTTTTTTTTTTAAATTTCTTTTCAGTGATGATCTTTTCTCCTTACCTTATTGCCCGGGTAAGACCCTGGTGGTTGGAGCATCGTATGTCGCCTTGGAATGTGCTGGATTTCTTGCTGGCATCGGTTTAGATGTCACTGTTATGGTACGATCCATTCTCCTGAGAGGATTTGACCAGGACATGGCCAACAAAATTGGCGAACATATGGAAGAACATGGTGTCAAGTTTATAAAACAGTTCATACCAATAAAAGTAAGTGGGGTTGCTGGTAGGTTTGTTGGTTTCATACTCCTGTTTAGGCAGGAGAGAGAGGGTTGGGGTAGGTGATGGAAGCGTTCCTTCTGCGGTCTAAACCATCGGGAGTGCTGCAGTTTCTCAGCTGTGATGTTGCTATATGAACTTGTACCCACTGCCACCTGGAGAGCTTTGTTCTTCTCTGCAGCTCAGTAATTTCTTTATTCTCATCTCACCCTTCTTACTTTTAGTTCTCTTCTGTTTAATGTTTCCCTTCATACATTCCTTCACTTTATAATCTTTGGTCTGTTATCCTTTGTTTCTTTGTACACACCAGTGATTGAAATAAGAGTTCAAGACTCGGCTGATTTTTAAATGTTCTTCATGAGAAATTTGTCCTTGTGTACCATGTAGTCAACAGATACACTGCATTATTCTGGCTTCTCTGAAAATGATTATCTAAATTTGTTACATAGGCTCCCCCTTTTTTTTTCTGCTTATTTAGTCTCCTTTTGAAAAGGTGGAAAAATATGCCAAGTTACATTGGGAATTGTTAACACCATCACAAGTATTTTGATATATAAAAGTGAGAAAATCAATCACTTCTCATATCTCTAATAGATGAGTTTCCTTTAGTGCAGGTAAGGATGAGACTGCTGTGTTAAAGTTAAGGAATTTTGGCTGTCATTTGCTCAGTGGGTTAACTTAGGCCCTTTGGGTGACCATGTTAAGAATCGCTTCATGTTGGTAAGAGTTCGAGCATTGGGATGAGAATGACCTACTTTCAATACTGTCCTACCATTTTCTTGCTGTATGTCTTTGGGGAAATTATTGAACCTCTCTGAGCTTCAGTTTCTTCCATAAAATTAGGATAATAACAGCAGCTATCTCAGAGTTCTTGTGAAGATTGCGTTAGCTGACACTTAGGAAGTAATTAGAACAGTACCTGGCACAGAGTAAGTCTAATACTGTTGTGAGGGTGAAGCAGCACAGGTCCTGGAAGTTACTGCTACTTGATTCCTGGAGATGTCTTTTAGGGAGTAGAAGTACATGTGATACATTTGCCTTAGGGCTGTGGTTAGGAAACAGCTGTACATACAAGTTGTGCGATGGAAAAGTAACATCTGCTTCTATGATGTCTATTTTTAATGCCAACATGCAGGGCAACATGCAGTGTTACATTAGTTTCAGGTGTACAATACAGTGAGTCAACACTTCCACCCTTTACTCACTGCTCATGAGAAGTGTGTTCTGTGTTTTTGTTTTGTTTTGTTTTGTTTTGAGAGAGAGAGAGCATACAAGCAGGGGAGAGGGTCAGAGGGGGAAAGAGAGAATCTTAAGCAGGCCCCGCACTCAGCATGGAACCCAGCTTGGGGCTCGATCTCTTGACCCTGGCATCATGACCTGAGCTGAAGTCAAGAGTTGGACTATTAATCGACTGAGCCACTTAAGTACTCTGAGAAGTGTGATCTTAATCCCCATCACCTATCTCACCCATCCCCCACCCACCTCCCCTCTGGTAACCCTCTGTTGGTTTTCTGTAGTTATGAGTCTGTTTCTTGGTTCATCTGTTGTTTTTTGTTTTTTTTTTTTTAAATTTTTTTTTAATGTTTATTTTTGAGAGAGAGAGAGAGACAGAGTGTGAGCAGGGCAGGGGCAGAGAGAGAGAGAGAAACACAGAATCTGAAGCAGGCTCCAGGCTCCGAGCTGTCAGCACAGAGTCCGATGCGGGGCTCAAACTCACGAACTGTGAGATCATGACCTGCGCCAAAGTTGGATGCTTAACCGACTGAGCCACCCAGGTGCCCCATGGTTCATCTGTTTTTTTTCTTTTGTTCATTTGTTTTGTTTCTTAAATTACATATATGAGTGAAATCATGTGGTATTCGTCTTTCTCTGACTGGCTTATTTCGCTTAGCATCTGTGTTGTTGCAAGTAGCAAGATTTCATTCTTTTTTATGGCTGAGTAATCATTTTTTTATATAAACCACATCTTTATTCATCTACCGATAGACACTTGGGTTGCTTCTGTAATTTGGCTGTTGTAAATGATGCTGCGATAAGCATAGGGGTGCGTATATCCTTTTGCATTAGTGTTTTTGTATTCTTTGGGCAAATACCTCGTAGTGCAATTACTGCATCACATATGGTAGTTCTGTTTTTTTCTTTAGCTTTTTTTTTTGTTGTTGTTTTAAAGAGCGAGAGAAAGTGCAAACAGAGGAGGGGCAGAGAGAGAGAGAAAGGGAGAGAATCTTAAGCAGGGTTCACTGGCAGCACAGAGCCCAAGGCGAGGCTTGGTCCCACGACCCTGTGACCATGACCTGAACTGAAATCAAGAGTCGGACGCTTAACTGACTGAGCCACCCAGGTGCCCCAGTGGTTCTGTTTTTAATTTTTTAAGGCTCCTCCAGAATGGCTGCACCAGTTTCTATTCCCGCCAATAATGCATGAGGGTTCCTGTTTCCCTACATCCTTGCCAACGCGTGTTTATGTTTTTTGATTTTAGCCATTCTGACAGGTGTAAGATGATATCTGATTGTGGTTTTGATTTGCATTTCCCTGATGATGAGTGATGTTGACCATCTTTCCCTGTGTCTGTTGGCCACGTGGATGTCTTTGGAGAAATGTCTGTTCATGTTTTCTGTCCATTTTTTAATTGGATTTTTTTGTTGGTATTGAGTTGCATAAATTCTTTATTTTTTTAATAAGTTCAGTATATATTTTGGATACTAACCCTGTATTAGGTATGTCATTTGCAGATATCTTCCCCCATTCAGTAGGTTGTCTTTTAGTCTTGTTGATTGTTTTCCTTTGCTGTCTGTGCAAAAGGTTTTTATTTTTTATTTATTTAAGAAAAATTTTTTTTCAACATTTATTCATTTTTGAGAGACAGAGTGTGAGTGGGGAAGGGGCAGAGAGAGGGGGAGACACAGAATCCGAAGCAGGCTCCAGGCTCTGAGCTGTCAACACAGAGCCCGACGCGGGGCTCGAACTCATGGACTGTGAGATCATGACCTGAGCTGAAGTCGGACACTCAACCAACTGAGCCACCCAGGTGCCCCCAAAAGGTTTTTAACTTGATAAAGTCCCAATAGTTTATTTTCATTTTTGTTTCCCTTGCTTTAGGAGACATATCTTAGAAAGATATTGCTGTGGCTGATGTCATAGAAAGTACTGCCGGTATTGTCTTCTAGGATTTTTATGGTTTCAGTTCTCTCATTTAGATCCTTAATCCATCTTGAGTTTATTTTTGTGTATAGTATAAGAAAGTGGTTCAGTTTCGTTTCTTTTCTTTCCTTTTCTTTTTTTTTTTGCACGTAGCTGTCCAGTTTTCCCAACATCATTTGTTGAAGAGACTTTTTCCCATTGCATATTCTTGCCTCCTTTGTTGAAGGTGAATTGACCATTCCTTTATAATGTCTTAACATTTGGAGAGTTGTGGGCCCTTTTGAGAATCTCATAGACTATCCCCTAGTGAAATAAACCTGTGTCTGTGCATATTAACATTTTACCTGGTTACCAAGGTGTCGCTGATCTCCTTGGGTCATGGTGAACACATGCTGTGTTATTCGGTGACCTGATAGAAGCGGCCTTTGGCAGGGAGGAAGGTGAGAGCGCATTGTGTGATGTGCACAGAGATAGTGGGGAATAAAGTCGTTCTAAATGCAGAAATTGTCGTAGACATAGAAAAAGCCTAACTGGAACACAAAAGTGAGTGAGGCAGGAAGGAATTAGAGGTGAGATGAGGCCCTTATCATTTTTAGGTAAATCTGAGCTAATGCAGGTAATCTGACTAATGCAGCTCTTCTCCAAAGATTAGATTATAGCTTAACTACGAAAGACATTTTCGGTATGTTCAGATGGGCTTAACTATGTAAGAAGGAAGGAATTTGAGAAGGAAATTTTTGCTACTTATTAATGGTGAAAGTAAAATGACCCTTGACCATTTTCCCATGCAGAGTGGTTGCATTTAAAAGGTAGAGTAGAAATTGCAGGTGACTTTATGAGTTTCTCCCAGTAAATATTTTACAGGAACCCATGATTTGCTGCCAGTGCAGAGACCAAGGTTAACTGCAGGCTTGCAGAAGCCTCTAGGTGATAAGGGTTTTCATTTGTTGCAACGCAGTCTGAAGGTTATTGTTGACATCCAGGAGTGGTGAGCTGGTATGTTTAATCTCATCTGGCATAGTGCACGTTCCGGGGCTTGCTTGTTCTTCCCTACATCTTGAACAACGAAGACCACCCCTCGTCCTTATAAACGTACCTCCTTGCTCACTATGCTTTTTAGGGCTTTCTGGTTGTTTACCTGTATCATTTTGATCTACTCCAGTGTCTGTTCTTTGTTGACAAAGCTGAACGTCTGTAGCCAGAAGACAATCTCTGAATTTGAGCAGTAGTGGCTCTCCAGGGGATTGAGGGCTCTGGGTGAGTTACCAGAGAGGAGCCTGGGAAAAGCGACGTCATTAGCTGTGTTTTAGGGATTGTAGTGTGCTTTCTCTGGCTTTTTCCTTTCCCACTTTTTTCTCTTTGAATTTTATTCTGTTTGGGAACTATTGGAAAGAAAGCCCCTCTAGCAAACATTAAGCGGCAAGAAAAAGGGGGATAAAATAGAAAAATCTCTTACTGTCCTAATGATGTTATGGTGAGGGGGGTGGGACATGAAAGACCTCTCATGCCAGATTTTGTGTTTTCACTTTGGGTCAACCTGATAGGAGGGAGTTGATACAGGTCTTTGTTGTGGAGTAAAACTTTGTCACTTTTATAGGTTGAACAAATTGAAGCAGGGACACCAGGCCGACTCAGGGTGGTAGCCCAGTCCACCAGTGGTGGTGAAACCATTGAAGGAGAGTATAATACGGTAAGGAATGGACCCAGGTTAGCCCTTTATTAGAAAGCAAATAATGTGCTTATTGGATATTTGGATATTTGCTGGGTACATGTAATGGCTGCTTTCTATTTTCAAAACCTGATTATGTTCCTATTCTAAGACATCTGTATTGCTTGTGATATTATAATTTGTTTTGGGATAGGGATGGCTTCAAATTTTCTTCCATGTAACTTAAAAATATCATTTGTCGGGGCGCCTGGGTGGCGCAGTCGGTTGAGCGTCCGGCTTCAGCCAGGTCACGATCTCACAGTCCGTGAGTTCGAGCCCCGCGTCGGGCTCTGGGCTGGTGGCTCAGAGCCTGAGCCTGTTTCTGATTCTGTGTCTCCCTCTCTCTCTCCCTCTCTCTCTGCCTCTCCCCCGTTCATGCTCTGTCTCTCTCTGTCCCAAAAATAAATAAACGTTGAAAAAAAAAAATTAAAAAAAAAAAATATCATTTGTCAAATAGCTATAAAAAGACATCCTTTTTATCG